TGTGTGTGTGTGTGTGTGTGTGTGTGTGTGTGTGTGTGTGTGTGTGTGTGTGTGTGTGTGTGTGTGTGTGTGTGTGTGTGTGTGTGTGTGTGTGTGTGTGTGTGTGTGTGTGTGTGTGTGTGTGTGTGTGTGTGTGTGTGTGTGTGTGTGTGTGTGTGTGTGTGTGTGTGTGTGTGTGTGTGTGTGTGTGTGTGTGTGTGTGTGTGTGTGTGTGTGTGTGTGTGTGTGTGTGTGTGTGTGTGTGTGTGTGTGTGTGTGTGTGTGTGTGTGTGTGTGTGTGTGTGTGTGTGTGTGTGTGTGTGTGTGTGTGTGTGTGTGTGTGTGTGTGTGTGTGTGTGTGTGTGTGTGTGTGTGTGTGTGTGTGTGTGTGTGTGTGTGTGTGTGTGTGTGTGTGTGTGTGTGTGTGTGTGTGTGTGTGTGTGTGTGTGTGTGTGTGTGTGTGTGTGTGTGTGTGTGTGTGTGTGTGTGTGTGTGTGTGTGTGTGTGTGTGTGTGTGTGTGTGTGTGTGTGTGTGTGTGTGTGTGTGTGTGTGTGTGTGTGTGTGTGTGTGTGTGTGTGTGTGTGTGTGTGTGTGTGTGTGTGTGTGTGTGTGTGTGTGTGTGTGTGTGTGTGTGTGTGTGTGTGTGTGTGTGTGTGTGTGTGTGTGTGTGTGTGTGTGTGTGTGTGTGTGTGTGTGTAACGCATAACTCATAAACTGATACATAGAAAAACACCAAATTTTAAACTTAAGCTTTGTTTCAACGTCCAATGAGCTGATTAGATTTTGGGCAGAGTCGGAACATCTGGGGGGGTACTTTATAGGTGGTCATTTTTATATTTTATGGAATATATCTGTTATTTACGTTTGGAGAAGAAAATTCTTTAAATAAAAGTTACTTCTAATATAATTATCTATAATTTTTGTTTTATGCAAAATTTTCCTAAAATGGTCCGTATTCGAGAAATTTGACAAAATGTAAAAAAAAATATTTTTTTATAAAAATTGTTCAAATAAAAGTTGTTTGTAATATAATTCTCTATAATTTCTATTCTATACATAATTTCTCTAAAATGGACCGTATTCGAGATATTTGAGAAAATGTGTAAATTTCGAATTTTGAAGGAAACTCAAAAACGGATAAAGAAAAAAACATTACATTTTAAACTTAAGGATTATTTCGGCCTGACGTGAAATGATCAGATTTTGGACAAAGTCGGAACATCTGGGGGGGTACTTTATGGGAGGCCGTTTTTATATTTTATGGAATATATCTGTTATTAATGTTTGGAGAAAAAAATTGTTCAAATAAAAGTTACTTCTAATATTATTATCTATAATTTTTGTTTTATGTAAAAATTTGCTGGTCCGTATTCGAGAAATTTGACAAAATGTGCAAAATTCTGATTTTTATGAAAGTTTTTGAAATAAAAGTTGTTTGCGATATCGATCTCTATAATTTTTGTTTATACATGATTTTTCTAAAATGGACCGTAATGAAAAAATTGTAGGAAATTTAAATTTTTCAGTATTTTCGTTTTCCATGAATATCTATAGAAAAATGTTTCGAGGTACAATGTATATATTTAGTTTATCCTCTAAACATTTATAGAGATGCTGCAATAGGTTGTACAAAATAACCGGAAAAGCCTATAATAACTAGATAGGAAAGTCATGTGTTGGACACATCAGATTTTTTATTCTATAAATAAAACGTAATTTGCTTCTAAATCACTAATGAATTATATTATGTAACAACAAACTAAACAAGAATATCACATTATTCATGTTTTTTTTTATTTACTAAAAAACGACCCAAAAAAACATTGAATGTTTATTATTGACAGTTTACTAAATGTCGTTTAGTTGCAACTTGCAAGGTGCAGTGTGAATTCTAGTGTGATCATGGAAAATTTGGAAACAAAAAATCGGTCCTTTAACAGTTAATGAAAGAACATTAATATTTAATTGTTTTAAATTATTTACAGACAAACATTTATGTAAAAGTGTTGATGACACAGTGGAATTAGTTAGTAGTATGCTTGGTGTTGGGAAATCTACGATTTACAGAGTTGTTAAAGAAGAGAAATGTGGCGAGTTTCAAACAGCACGTAAAGCTCCAGGAAAACCAAAATTTCAATTAGAAAATCTTTTGAAAGAAAGACTTCGAAGGAAAGTGCATGCGTTCTTCTTTAGAAAAGAATTTCCGACAGTAGACAAAGTTTTTGCCACGGTTCGAGATGATAAGGATTACCCTGAAATGAGTCGAAGCACACTATGGAAACTTTTAAAAGAAATAGGTTTTCTATGGAAAAAGCATTCCAGAAAGTCTATTTTAATAGAAAGAAGCGATATTGTAGTATGGAGAAGAAATTACCTAAGGACTATAAAAGAAATGAGAAACCAAAGAAGAAATATATTTTATTTAAATGAAACATGGATCAACGAGGGACATAAACCAAATAAATTTTGGCAAGATGAAACTGTTACAAGTCGAAGACAGGCTTTTTTAAATAATTTATCTACTGGTTTAAATCCACCATCAGGAAAGGGGCGCAGACTAATAATAGTACACATCGGCAGTTCAAACGGTTTTGTTAAAGGTGGTTTATTGACTTTTGAATCTACTCGTACTGGTGACTACCATGAGGACATGAACGCTGATGTCTTTAAAGAGTGGTTCGAACAAATTATAGATTTTCTTGCTCAGAACTGTATAATAGTAATGGATAATGCAAGTTATCACTCGAGACTTATAGAAAAAATGCCCACAACCAAGTGGTTAAAAAAAGATTTACAGAATTGGCTAAATTCAAAGAATATTAAGTTCCATCCCGGTTCTGTTCAGGCACAAGTTTCTGAAATATTTTAGTTAAATATTTCACTGAAAATATGAAACATGGTATACATGTAACACAAAAGGCCAACAACTAATGAAGAATTTCTGATTTGTAAGAAGATGGGATATGTAGTTATTTTATTTCATCATGCCCCTGTCCAGCCACCAGCTAGAAATAAGGCTAAATTCTAAATAATTATAGATTTGAGTTGTTGGTTTTTGATATTCATGCATTGTGAAGTTGTTATATGGGAAGTACAATATGTCTTTAGAAATTGAGGTGAGAACTACATAAATAATGCTTGCTTAGGTGGATCTTCATGTTTTGTTTAGACATGAGTATTGTTTTATTATAGTTAATTTAAAAAAAAAATATTAATAAAACTATTGTTAATCAAATAATTTGTATAAATCCTTTTTAATTAACTATATTTTGTTTCAGATTGGTGCATTTAAAGGAATTGGTGGAAATGAAACAATTTACCAGCTTTAGGGCTGTGCCAGTAAAGTAAAATCTAAATTATTCAACGTTTCCAGAATAAAGTATTAAGGAACGTCGTCGATGCATCCTGGTACTGCCATAATACTCATCTTCATAGGGACCTTAAAGTGGAGACTGTTGAAAATACAATACAAAAATTTGCCAGTAGTCACCAACAACGACTGCTCTAACATGGAAACCTTGAGATTATCCAGCTCCTCAACAATGCCTATCTAATAAGAAGACTCAAGTGAACCAGCCTTTTGAGTTAGTTCAGTAATGTTAGATTAAAACAGAGTATAGTGCGATTAAGTGTTATATGTTAACGGTAGTGTAACTAAATAATTAGACTCTAAAGTACACTATATAGTGAGCAGAATCTTAATTTATCAGTTTTGCATCCCTAGATAAGTTAGGTAAAAATAAAATTGCTAATTGATCATAATGATTAGATTACAATACTCGTAAATGTTTCTTTACTTGGAGCATTTATTAAAAAAAAACCTAGTTGTTTCAAATTAGTGCATTTAAAAGAATTGGTGGAAATGAAGCAATTCGCTTCTATATTTTATGAAATATTCTTTAAAACATATTTATTTATTTGTTTAAGAATCAATGTTAGAGTTTTGTGTATTTTAAATAAACATGTATATTTTTAAAAGTCTTTTTTTAGTATTAATAATATATTACAAAAAAAACTAGAACACATTTCTGAAATATTACTATTTAATATTTCTAAAAGATTTCAAATTTTCATTTCAGAAATATTACTGTGAAATATTATATTTACAGGACATTTTTAAGTTTCAGGCATATTTCAGAAATGTTTCTTTAAACATTTCTGTACTTAAAATTTGTATTCCTGGATATTTTCAGTTGTTTAAAACTCTGATAGTCCAGGTGAAACCGGAACAGGTGGCATCCCTATTTGCTTGCCTTTTGTCTTGTCTTGATTTATTTCCTTATAATATTAGATTGTTTCTTATTTTCATACATTCATTATAAACACAGCAAAGCTGTCTCTAAAATTGCGTGATTTTTAAAGTTAACCCATTGAGAAAACTGACTGCATTAGCAATTGGCATCCTACTTTAATATTGCTTGATGAACAAGGACGCAAATAAAATGAGTGCACACTTTTCATGTGAAAGGTCACTCTACTCGACGGTCAGCATGGATTGTCTGCAATGATGAGTGGGATAGAATGCTTGTCAATAGGCTTGAGAAGCGACTCTATGGGCGAAGACAGGTTATTTTTCATCTTACTCAGGAGTATTTATAATAACCATTTTCTATTTCATTGTTATTGTCTGATCCACCAGCTTGTGGGCTGGACAATAACAATGTGAAACTCCCGAGTGAGATGAGCAATAAAAATTGCTGCGCCCATAGAGTCGCATCTCATTCTATTGATACAATATGCACATTGGTTGTCTCTAGAGGTGTTTCAACTATCGATAGATCTTTATAAAACTATCGATTTATTCGATAGTTGCTTTACTATCGCTGCTATCAATATACTATCGATGTTTATGCAACTATATACCAGACGAGTTCAGCCTGTACGGGAGGTCTGAGATCCCCGTTTCGAGGATTCTTGGGCTGGTATTTGACAAATTTTTATGTGATTATGGCCTTTTTATTTTTCTATAGTTATGGCTATATCAGTAGGCATTCCTAGAATAAATTGTAGTTGAACTAACCTGAAAGTTTCCTCCAAAGCAAAATATAATTGATCATCGGCGTTATCCACATGCTTCGGCGCCACTATCTTCCTATTGTGGCTCTCTATTATTTTAATCTCATTTCCGAACGTTTTTAAAAGCTTCTTCTCAAGATCTTGCAATGTAAAATGATCGAAAACATCTGAATTAGTTTCGGCAATTTGTCGTAGAAAACTCAAGTATTTGTCCAGCAACTGTGATAAAAAGTAGCAAGTGCCTTCGCCCAGAATGTTTAACTCTACAAACGTGCACGTTTGTTTGTAAGCCATTGTTCGATAATTACGACGCATGATATTCTCCTCTGATTTGATTTTTTTACTTTTGTCATAGTAAAGGCTTCTGCAAAAGCTATGGTAGAAAAATGTATCCGTGGTTAAGCTTTCTAATTTCTTTATGATTTGTTTGTTGTAATCGGAAGGCGCACACTTTTTGGCTCGATCTAAAAACACGCTCTTCTGCTCGGCATGTAAATATTGAGGAGTATCGCGCTTCATTTTCTGTCTTCTACCGCAAAAAATGCATACGCGATCATCACTTTCACTTTTTGATTGTGAATTCGTTAAATTCGGCTTAAACACTGTTTTCGGTTCGAAATACTTCTGCTTTAGGGCGGTGAAACTTCCGTAACAACTCGTATGATAACCGTGAGTTGCCTGCAATTCCGTCGGTAATTCAATATCGTGATATTTAAATTTGAAATCTTTACGTAACCTTAACACTTCCTGGCACCTTCTGAATGTTTCTTCTCTAAATAAAATAACTTTCTGGGGCCTTGTTTTACAACAAAATACGCAATACGCCATGATTTAAAAAGAATGGAACTAAAGTAAACAAAAGTATAGAAATAAACACTAAACAGCTGACTAACAACCTGTCAAAATGCTGATAAGTGGGAACTGACAACTGACAGTTTAGGGTATGGGTCCGTTATTAACCGAAATATCAGTTAATCCGTTGTATGAATAAATATAGTAGGGTAACCTTATGGACTTATCATTGGAGGACGATGGACATAGAATGTAGATGGCGATACTGTACTTATGTCCAAGTCAGGTCTTTAGGTCATGTCTGTGCTTGAGTATAAATTATAATTTAAAATCTTCTTTTTCATTTCTACTTGTCTTCGGTAATGTATTTTTATAGTTACAATTTACTATTTCAAATTATTACAAAAGCACAGAATTCAGGGTATTTGAAGGTCACAAAAAATGCGAAAATAATCGATATAATAAAATAAACCAGTTTTTGGTTGAAAAAGATTGAATTAGTTGAGATTGGGTGGAATTTTAGTCATTTTACTATAATAGGGAACATTTTTTTCTATATTGTGGTTGGATTTTGGATATATCGCTGATGGTTAATTAAACTTGAGTTGTACGCTGTTAATTTATATTCACTTTTATTTAATGGTAGGTATCATCAAATTAAGAATAGGACATGAACAACTGAATATTATTGTTCAAAATGAGACGAATAGACGAAAATAAAAAATGTTTGGATAAAATTTTCTGAAATACAGGATGTTAAGTTGAAAATTAAAAAAGTAATAATGGGTAAATACCTATATAGGTAGTTATAATTTTATTATTCAATATAATTTTACTAAAATCGGCACTGACAAAATTTAACTAACAGATTTTTTTGCTGTTAGGTAAACTTATAACACAATACCAAACACGTTTAGTGAAATTATACTAAGTAATAAAAACATGTAAGCCACTAATTTTCAGTTTTCAACTTTTGACACCATTTAAAAACGAATCGAGTACCAATTTATGGTAGGCACATTTAGGAGTATTATTTTCGAAAGGCAAAATTAAACATTTTTCATTGTTTTTTTTTTGTACATGGAAATACTTTGCTGCATGTCTGCTGCATTTGCTCAGGACGTTAAGTGCTCAACTTTGGGTTTCGTAAAGATCAGTTACTGACTACTACTATTTTTTTCTGAACTGTTATCAAAATACTACAAAATTTAGCAGAAAGATTGCATTAATTATATTTTTCATATTTTTTCCAAAATAAGAAAGAATGTTTTTATATGTAATTGAATCTGAGTTGGAAAATCCAAACTTGAATGCTTAACGACTTAAGTCTTGAAGGCACTTATATCAAGTTAATTATCTAATCAAATATGTGACGTGGCTTTTTAAAATACCATCATTGTGCGCTTCACAGCGTGTCCATCTTCTACAAGAGAAAAAAGGAGGAAACATTTGTAAAGTTGCCTTGTACAAATGTGTACCAAAAGAGGGCAACTGGCTCTCGTAAGCCTTTTTTGTTTAATCGTCTCATTATTTTAACATTAAGCGCCACCAGCATGGGAAATATATGTTAAAGTTAGTTTTAAGAACTTTTAACATTCAAATAAACAAAAACAATTTATAAATCTATTATTAAAATCCGTGTTGGAACAAAACATAAAATTGTTGAATTTGAAAGATAATATTCTAAAAATGGAAAGGATTTCAGTCGAGAGCCTATTGGACTGAATATTCAGTTTAAAATCGATTTTCCGGCCTATAAATCTTCAATTGTTTCAAAACGAATAAAATAAAGTAGTTCTGTCTAAAACTAAAATAAATTTGCTATCTCGAAGTCCCCATCGATTATTTCCAAACTTTTCTTTAACGTCTTAGTTGTAAGTTTTATATTACATTTTCTTTAATTTGCTATTTCTGTGGAATCATTAATTTTCATTTGCATTATTGTTCTTCTAAAAAAGCGAATGTGACTCACGTTTTGCTTGATTGGCTTTAATTTTTGAGATAGTCAACCAGTCAAAATAAAAAAAAAATCAAAAAATAATAAGACATTAATTTATTTATTTATTCAGTTTTGTCTGAGCTAACTGAAAGGCTGTATTCTATAAACAATGAAAAAGAGTGATTGTTGTTTTGAACTACTTAAAACATTTTCACTTGAACGGCGTGCGTGATTCAATTTAAAAATACTTTCCAGAATAAAACCACGTGTTACAGTTTTGACTTCATTTATTACTAAACAGCCAAGTCATATACAAAAACGTTAATCCAAAATCTAAATTAAAAGTAATAACAAATAGCCTATCTACTAGGGTCGGTAACCAAACATATAAACAGAATGGGCGGATTTTGTTCATACTTAACATTATACTCGCGCACTGACACTTAACCTGGATTAAATATAACTGTAAATACTAATATTTTACAAACAAATATACTTTTCCAAACAGTGATAAATTATATAAAAAAAAATGTTTTTTTATAAGATTTTCTTTTATGTTCAAAGTTAGGACTTTATAATTATTGTGTCATTCATAGAATTCTGTACTAAATAAGAGCACTGATTTTGGAAATAAATTTTAACCATTTTGGCAAGTTGCTGAACCTTGTAACATTGCATAATGAAATATAAAGACTAACTGAATATGTCTGCCACAGATAGACCACTTGTAGGTCTATTAATTTCGTCTTGAGCTATTCCTAAAGAGTGGAGCTATTGAAAACTTCCTTTCAAGGTGATTTATTTCAACACTCAGAGCCAGCCGAGAGAACATTTTTTTCTTATATTCATGATCAACAGCCAATATACATTTGAAAGTCGCTAATATATCCCTGTGACTATTTTTTTTTAATTTGTTTTCCAGTGTTGATTGATTTTTCCCTGATTAGTGTGATTTTCTTGTTCCTTAACTCAATATCTTGCAAACTGTTGATAGCTTTGATGAAATTTTGTAGCAAAGCTTGTTCAAATTTTGAAAACTATAAAAATATTCAGCTATTTTTATGGTTATAAACTTTTCCAACACTTAGTCCAATTAGAGGTACTTAGATTACATGCAACATTTTCAGAAGCTTATTCCTTTTTTGTTTTCTACTTGGAACTTTTCAATTTATTTAAAACATTGGACATTGTTATAAGTTGTTATTAGGTATTCTTTGTTATTGTTTATATATTTTGACATAACCGCACATAACCAAAATATTGACCAAAGTCCTTAACCACTTTTGGCACTTTTTATCACCTTAATCCAAAAATTTTATTCGTACGGTTTTGTCAACTGGAATAAATTTTCATTATTATGTTTAATTTTTCATATCTTTTATCATAAATTGTTATTTTTAAATAAAGATGTTTTTAACTATAATAGGTAGGTGATAGAGGCCATGTGCCTGAACGAAAAGAAGACGTAGATGGCGTATCTGCATAGCATTAAAAATTGACTACTTCATTAAATCGTCACTAGATGCCGCTCGAGATTGCATCCAAAACTTTTTACTGTTGCATTATCCTACTATATTATCTTCATACAACGGTTAATCGGTCCAAAACTAACCGCTCTGATTGACATTTCTGGAGCGCGTTCAGATGACTTTACACGGGAGTAGACTTAGGGGCCTATTCAGTAACTCTGAACGACGTCGTTAATAGACGATAATCGTTCACAGACGACTTTTCTTATTCAGTAGACAACGATTGTCGTTGAAAATAGACAAATATGGTTGTAAAATTGTCGTTCATCAACGATAGCCAAAGAGCTGTCGTTGATAATATGAAGTGTCGTTATAGTGATTTTTGCATTCCCTCTCATTTTTCATTGTGAATCAGGATGTCTTCTAAATAATAAAAGCACTTTTTTACAAATTTTACAACTAAATTGCCATCTATACCTAATACAACAAGTACAATTTGTAAGGAATTTTTTCCAATTTATTTAATTATTTTAAAAATAAATCTGATTCAAAGTTAGGATTGCCCATTCAACCATTTACTATTGGATTCTTATTAACAGTGCTGTTCCTAAAGTAGCACTGCGAAACAGTAACAAAACCTATATTATGGAAGTACCTATAATACTTCTCCGTAACCTACACAAATTTGGTTTGTCTTTCAAATCCAATAAATACAACTTGTACTGTTCTCGAGTTGTTTTTGTATTCTTTTGGAATAGTTCTCAGTTTTTTTTAATATATCCATACTCATTTAAATAAACCCTACATACAATACGACCAGCAAAAATGGCTCGCGAGAAACAGAATTCCTACGAATCGAGAATCGACCCCCTGATCGTGTTGTAGGTTAAGAACAATAATTAATATATTCTGAAAAACAAATGAATATATCTACTGGTAGAATTTTTATTTTACGTTCCAAAAAAATGTCAAATATACCGGGTGTTCAAATTAAAGGGTTACAGTTAAATACCGCCTTTTATAAAAAAAAAACAAAGTTTTATAGTTTTTTTGGGGAAAACAATTTGGTTAAAATTGTTTTTTATAGCAAACCATAATATGGCCAACTTTTTTTCGCGCAGCAAAATTTTCAAATAGGTGTTACTCAATAAGTAGAAATCTAATAAAAAAATGTTTCCTTTAGAAGTTTCTTATTTTTTTATGAACTCTAAGGGCCCTATTCAGTAATTTATCATTTATGAACGACATCGTTAAGCTAACGACAGTTCAACCAACGACTTTTATAACGATAATTTTTGAAACTCTATTCAATAACAAAGTCGTTACGTTGTTTCTAGTTACCAAATCTGAACGATGATTTCTAGTAAGTTGGTATTATAATTTAGTGTTTTGTGATAAAAGAACGTATGTTGATGATTATACCGGGTGTTTAAATTAAAATCGCCAAAAATATGAATTTTATAAAAAAAAGTATCAGACAGAAGTTTTATAGTTTTTTAGGGGAAACATTTTGGCCAAATTATTTTTTTTATAGCTGACCATAATATGGCCATATCGAGGTGGATTTTTTTTTCAAATTGGAACCCTATTTTTTACATAGGTATTTTTAGAGTTCATAAAAAAATAAGAAACTTCTAAGGACCGATTCCACCGTTGTGTTAAAATCGGCCCTAAAGGAAACATTTTTTTTATTGGATTTCTAC